CTTGAAACACGTCTGATTCCACCATTAGTCAAGTCCCGACTAATTGAGCTTTGACTTTGTGCCGAGCGAGCACGAAGGGTGCACCCCCCCCCCCCCCCCCCACCCCAATGACTTTGACGATCGACATTATTGGAAGAGCTGTCTTGAAACACGTCTGATTCCACCATTAGTCAAGTCCCGACTGATTGAGCTTTGACATTCAGCCGAGCGAGCACGAAGGGTACACCCCCCCCCCCCCCAATGACTTTGACGATCGACATTATTGGAAGAGCTGTCTTGAAACACGTCTGATTCCACCATTAGTCAAGTCCCGACTAATTGAGCTTTGACTTTGTGCCGAGCGAGCACGACTGGTACACCCCTCCCCCACCCCCCCATCCCAATGAGATTGACGATCGACGATCGCGCGATCGACGGTGATCGATAATATCGATAACTGCGATTATTTCCAATTGTTTAATCTTCACTGTACAGCTTGCATAAAAATTTCATATGGTACACATAAGGTGTCATGCACACCAGAAAATTAAAACGGCTGTCACGGTTAAACTACATATTATTTCGAGTCCGAGAAATTAGTAAATATTCTTCAGACGTTCTAAAGTAAAGGTGAACAGCGTTTTTTTTTTTAAATATCACTGTTACGTAGTAAAAAAAAATCCCGAAAGTTCTCACTTCGTGATTTGTTCAATACTTCGAACGCGGCTCGAGTCCGTTCCGACCATCTGTCAAAGCCTCGTGCTGCGGACTCTCTCGCGGACTCTCTCTCTCGCACCGTCACCTCTCATTGGCCAGTGTTTTTCGTTAATAACTCGTAAACAAAGCCGTGGATTGCATTTTCGCAAAGGAAAAAGTTACTTCAAATGACCTCAGCTACCCCTCATTTTCGGCTGTTAAAATAATTGTGGGACACCCTGTATATATAAAAATTATGTACTATATATATAATATTAAAAAATATAAAACAACGTCCCAGAAATGTCGAGACGACTCCAGCATATTCTCGAACGATGTTTTCCAAACAACGCTCGCTAATTACGCGTCCCTTAATTAGAGAATAATCTCGCTAATCGAAAACGCGTCTACCAGGTAGCGTTAATTCGGTAATAAAGTTACATTTCGCGGCCGCTATTAGAAAGTTAAGGTCCCCCGGTGAGATCGCGTCTTTTGATTCCGGTCTCGCACGAAATTACAGTGCCCTGTTAATGCCGCGGTACGAATAATACGACTTCGGGTAGACGGTCGGTTTATCTGCCTTATAGCTTCTGGCCCTATTCGTTCCTTTTTACCATTTCTCTCCGGCTACCTACGTTCGCGCGTAGCAAGCGTACGGCACACACCGTGGCGCACGAGGAGGTCGCATGCTTCACGTCACGAAATGATAAGCATCGCGGCTTGAAAAGCAGATACTGACCCCTAAGGACGATCGATACTGCGCCGTGGACTGTCAAGACCTTACCACTGACCACTTCTCCAGGCCTGGCCACTTCCTTGCCTGACTCATTTTCGGTTCCGTGGAAAAATCGGTATCGCCGATCTAAGACCACCGATAAAACGCTACCGTGGCCGCGATCATGCGAAAATAAGCGTAAGGAAGGTTCGCCTGCCGTGCTAACACGGTCTACTCGCTACGTACAGTGTCCTTTTCCAAGGACGCGGAACACTCGCGCCCGTGAAAAACGTTTGCGAATGGCGATTCCGAGATTTGTATTACATGCAAACAAGTACAGAAGACATATATTAAGTACAAACAATAAATAAAAACATATATTGAATAGAAGGAATTTACGAGGACGTGTATTAAATGGAAACAATTAACAAAAGCATATATGAAATTTCGAGGAATTAACAAGGATGTATATTAAGTAGAAACAATTGACAAAGGCATAGGTTAAATACAAAGATTTAATTAGGGTATACATCAACCCTTTGTACTCGAAGTCATTTTTATTGTAAATCTGAAATAATTTTTCTGACTTATAGTAATTCGATTTTACATAAGAACGTGCATTTTATGCACTTGACTCATACAACAGTCACATTTTTAATAATTTTTTAAATCTATACTTTGATAATATGAAAATTATCTTAGAACGTGAGATAACGATTTTAGCCTTAAATTTTGGCAAACAAATCTAACCTCAGAGTGCTAGAAAGCAAAGGGTTAAATGGAAAGTATTAACAAAGATATATATTTAATATAAATAGTTTTTTTTTCACATTTGCCAGAACATAAATACGTGTAATAATTTAATTTCATTTAATTTATTTGGCATAAACGGGTTAGATGTAATTCAGTTTTTCTATAAAAATTCAACATAGTAATGATAATGATAGTAATAGAATAATAATACAAATGAAAATGAAAATGATTTTTAAATTTATTAAAATCATCAATACATAATCATTAATTTACAAGCGTTAAACAAATTGAGAATTCTATTCAATGGATCACTATAAAGAATTTTGAAGTGAATTAAATTTGAAATAATACTTTAAACTAAAT